GCCTGGGGTTTCTTTGCCGTGGAGGGCTTTGTCGTCAAGGATGTTCGTTGGTAGTAGTTTGTAAGTAGGTTCAGGGTTCTGTGTTAGGGCTTGTTAGTTGTGATTTAGGGTTGACGGTTTCGCAACAGCTACAAAGTCCCTTCTTAGAAAGAGACTCGACCCGAGCACTGACTAATGTGAGGGCCTCAGTAATTAGAATAGGGTTTGGGGTGCATTCTACTCTAATTGTAAGAAGCAACCCCCAAAACCCTATTCTAATTATTCAGGCCCCTACATTAGGTTTTAGGGTTCGGGTGCCATAACCCTAAACCCTAAACCCTAAACCCCAAGGATTGGTGGACGCTCGGCGTCCTCATCTTTGAGCTCATGTGCCCTGGTTTCGAAGGAGTTGGGGGTTTAGGGTTTAGGGTTTAGGGTTTTAATAATGAAGGGTTTGGGATTCAGGGCTTTCTGCCTGTACAGTAGCCACTTCAGGGTTTTTAGGCCTACCGTTGGGGTTTCCAGGGATTTAGGGTTGGGGTGTTCAAGGTTTTCTGGTTTCAGGATATGAGCGCGCATTACAATTCAGAGCTTCGTATTGGGTAGCAATAGTAACTCGGTCAGTTTTTCTATGCACTATAACAACACAGCCCGACGCATTTCGGACCCTGTTCAAGCCAAACTCGTCGCAAATCCCCATCCCCCCCAACGGCAAACCTGACAATACCTAAACAATTCCCTAAACCCTAAACCCTAAACCCTAAACCCTAAACTTAACAAGGATCATCCAACATCACTTGGAAGCATGCACTGCCAAAAGCCGAGCACCTAGACTAGGACCTGCCTTTAGAACTGGACTGTTTAGCTTCTCTCACAGAGTCAGTCCCTGCTCCTTGAAGCGCCCTAGCTTAAGAGCCCAAAACCCACTTTTTTGTAGGGTCCCTATAAATCCCATATTAGGGTTTATAATAAGAACCTACAAAAAAGTGGGTTTTGGGTTCTTAAGGTACAGCCTAAACCTTAAACCGTAAGCCTTAAACTTAAACCCTATAAGCCCTGAACAGGTCAAAGACCACGAACACGCAAACACACGCGGCCTTCGGAGCGCAAGAAAAGCACAGGTCAAAGCACGATCGGAATTCAATTGGAGCACAAGATAAGAGCAGCAGAAAAACACGGTGTTGTATGAAATTTAGTTTTTAGGCAACCGCCAGAAGGTGCTTCGTTTCCCGACAGGGATGCAGGCAACCTAAACACCCATGATCCTGAAAGTATGCTCAACGTTTCTAACTATTTATAACTGTTATCTAGCGGTTCTTGATGACCTTAAAGTACGCTAAACATTTAAATTCGTTTATAACCGTGATCTAGCGGTTCTTGATGTCCTTAAAGAACGCTGAACATTTATAACTGTTTTTAACCGTTACCTAGCCATTATCGATGTCCTTAAAGTACGCTAAACATTTAAATTCGTTTATAAGCGTTAACTAGCGGGTTTTGATGTCCTTAAAGTACGCTAAACATTTGAATTCCGTTAACCAGCGGTTCTTGATATCCTTAAAGAACCCTAAGCATTTATAACTGTTTATAACACTTAACTATACATAACTATAGCGGCTCTTGATGTCCTTAAAGTACCCTAAACATTTATAACCTATTATATGTATAGCCGTTAACTAGCGGTTTTTGATGTAGGCCTCTTTGAGCCACATCTGCAACCCAGGGCCGGGCATCCTCCCTTCGAGAGTGCCTACCCGATGCAGCATGGATGAAACTCAAGATGTGGGTTTAGGGGTTTAGGGGTTTAGGGTTTAGGGGTTTAGGGGTTTAGGGTTTAGGGGTGTAGGGGTTTAGGGTTGCCGAAAACAAAGGGTACCTGATTTTGGAGTCCTTATAATATTTAATAAGGATCCTGCTATCTAGGGTACTATATTAGGGTCCCCTATTTTTCCGAAACCCAATGTGTCCCCCTTTTGTTCAAGGGTTCAGCGGGTTTAGGGTTGAGGGTGGTTCTTCTGCTTTCCGGGTTTAAGGGGCTCAGGCTTGGATGGAAATTCACAGCTTTTTTGTAGCCTTCAAGATGCAATCCTCTTTGAGGGCTTGTTGTTCAAGGATCTCGGCACCCAGGGATGTGGCACGCGCTTGGAACACACTTCACGACAACAGTCCTATTCAAACATGTATAGTAGCTTTCATTTCAAACACACCAACCAACCCTCCGTTTCCATTGTTAGAGACTTGGAATCTAGATCTCAAGGCCCGGCGTGAGATGCTGGTAAGTTTCTGGCTTTGCGTGTGTGTGTGTGTGTGGTCCTAATCCATAATGATGATTAACCGTGGCCCTTCACCCTTAACCCGACGCCATTCCGGGAAGGAAGTAGCTATTCCGAAAAGCAGGCTTGATGTTTACTTACCTGGACCTCAACTCTTTTCTGGGCCCGCAATGATTGGAGTAGTGTGCCGCGGCATGCTGTTGTATAACTAGCGAAGAATGAAGAACTTGCTTGTGAATTTTAGGTTTCCTCGTATGATTTTCGAGTGAATCCTGAAAAATTGGGGTTCATGTAGGTTTAGGGAATTCTGGGATGTGGAGCTAGAGTTTAGGCCTGGACTCTGAACACCCAGCCTTGACCAGTGAAGGGTTTAGGGTTTAGGGTTTAGGGTTTAGGGTTTAGGGTTTAGGGTAATCGTTAGTGGCCCTCAGTGCCGCCGAGGCAGATCTATGCGAAGGTGACGAAAGGCATTCAAAAGGCGGGGCATGGCAAGCTTACACCTGACAGCTCAGTATTTCTAGCCGTCAGCGCTGGTCATAGAACATGTTTACAGTAGAATCTACAATAGATTCTCTTGGGCCTTCTATCCCAAAATGAGAGTTAGAGGGCTTGGTAGAATCTAAAGTAGATTTGACCGTATCTAACCTGTTCAGCCCTAAGCCCTAAATCCTAAACCCTGTATCTAACCTTTTTGACCTAAGCATGCATCTCAGGCGTTCGCAGGGTGTAAGTGGCTTTGGTCCTCTGTGAAGCAACAATGTGAGGCTAAAGAACGACCATTACCCGGATGGATGAATGCTACTTACTGTATGGGCCCAAATAATTGCCACTACTGTTCGGGGTTCCTTATCGAACTATACTATAGTATCATACACCCCCCAAGCCCTATTCTAATTATTAACGCCCTATCTTGCAGAACCCTATTCTAGATGCCTTGTAGACTCCTTTTAAAGGATCTCATTAAAGGACCCCTATTCTACTTATAAAAGCCCCTAGAGTAGCAATGGGGGCGATGCTTTCCAGTAACCCTAAACCCTAAACCCTAAACCCCTAAACGCATTGTAGTGCCACATACCCGGCTCGTGAGTTGGGCTTGAGGGTTTGGGGGTTTAGGGTCCCGAGCCCTCCAAACCCTACTTGGAGGTTCATGGGTAGTTATAAATATGGTTATAAGTCCCTTAATATGTGGGTTATAACTATAGTTGCCCTACTTATAACCCCACTTATAACTACCCACGAACCTCCAAGTGGACCCTTTAACACGAATAACTTGCTGAACGCTGAACCCATCGAACCCCATCCCGAAACCCTGCAAAGCCCTGCACACGCAGTCCCAAAATCCTTGCCGAACCCTACACCCGAAACTCTTAAAGCTTTAAGCCGAACCTCCAAAAAGCCGGTGAGGAGGGTTCAGGTTTAGGGTTTTCGGGGTTAGGGGTTGGGATTGAGAGTTTAGGGCTTAGCATTTAAGGAGAAGGGCTTTAGGGGTTTGGGGGTGTGGGGCTGAGGGCCTTATAAGAGCTTCATTAGGGGTTTAGGGGTTTAGGGTTTAGGAGCTTGACCATTCCATATGTTCCAAGACGTCAGATAGCGCAATGGTCGAGCAAGACTGTAATCACGGTCAGATTCCTTCTTCAATTGTCTGTGGTGCTACTCAGCCTAGAAACAAGAATTTGATGGGGCATGCTGGTGTTCATGATGGCGACGACGAGGATGATGATGATAAGGAGGAGGAGGACGAGGAGGGTGGCGGTGGTGGTGATGATGATGGCGCTAGTAACAAGACCAGCCGCTTGCGCAATCTTGCACCTTGGCTATACCTTGAAGCCCCTAAACCTAATTAAGCCCTGAACCCTCGTCCGTACAGGCAGGAGCTAGCCCTCAGTGACTAGCGAGCCGAGATGCAACAGGCTCTAGCCCTCAAAGTGGGGTGCACTGCGCGCATGGCGTGCCGATCCGGCTCTCGAATGGGCGGCTTGTCGCATCGAGAAGATCGAGCTGCAGCGTATGCAGCCGTTGGATGTGCAGATGCGAATGGCAGGCCGGTTGGCTGCCGACACCGGTCAAGGCGACTCGCAGATCGAAGAGCAAGCAGCAGAGGCTGCAAGCCGGTGTTGTCTTATCAACTTGCGCCAAGCCCAGGCCGACGCACGAGAGCGAGCAGACCTATCATCCGATGAAGTTAAAGAAGCCGGCTGGCTGCACTTTCGCGACTACCTGGCCGAAGAAGAGTGGGATCGAGTCTAGCATGCGGTGGACCAAGCGAATCGTCTCATCAACTGGAAGGCCGAGTGCCGAGGTTTGGCCGACGACATCCTCTTTGTTCGGCTGAAGGTCGAAACGGTACCTGGCCACAGGCCGGTGGATCGCTGCTGGCTCTGCGCCCTCTGCCGTGGACCTGCTTCGGGATTTTTTGGTCTCATCAAGAACCCGGCGACTGGCAAGTCACAGTTGCCGGCGGAAGCTTTCGTGGCCAATCCTCTCGCCGCTGTTCTGGCCGATTAAAGCTTGAAGCCGAAACAACGACCCAAAGACCTCGGAGCTATCCGCATACAACCACGCCCATGAAATCCTTCCACAAGCTCATGCAGCCCTGGGTTTAGGGTTTCGGGGCTGCAAACCCTCCTCCAAAAGCGTGCGAAGGATCCGCGAAAGCGCTTGAACAAGCCTTGAAGCACAGTCCGGTCGGTTTAGGGTTTAGGGTTGTTGCCAGGTGCTCTTTAGGGGTTCCTTACAGTTCTCTGCCAGGTGCCCTTCCCACCGCAGATCAACGCCTCCTGCAAGTCTCTGATCGAGGCGAGCCGTCAGCTTTTTTCTTCTAGATGTCCTTCTTTCTAAGGGTCCGAAGAAAGGGGCCTTAATGACTAGAATCTTAGGGGTACTTAGAAATAATTTTTAATCTTTGGCTACTATAAACCCTAAGAAGCAGCTAAAATTATAATTTTTGCTAGGGGTCTAAGTTCAGTATAGGAATAGGGTTTTGGGGCCCATTATAGTGTATTGATAGTAAGGAACCCCCCTCCAAAAAAAATAGAATAGGTTAAAATTTAGGCACCTACATTACTGTTCGGGATCTGTGGTTGGGTCCCTTTTTCCGTTATTTGTTATTGGGATTGCGGACTTCCCGATTCCAGGTGACATTGGGTGTAGGGGTCTAGGGTTTAGTAGACAATGACAACTAGTGATTTGGCAAGGTTGGGTTTAGGGTTTAGGGTTTAGTAGAATACGGAGAACTAGTGATTTGGTACTGCAGCTATTCAGGCTTCTGGAATAGAAGCCGGAATGGGTACTGTGCCAATCATCTTATACCTTAGAGCACCTTATGATAATTATACCATACTACTATGACTCAAATCCTTCTTCTGTAATCAAAGGCGTCTGATGTAGGGACCTTAATTATTAGAATAGGGTTTTGGGAGTTCCTTTTTATAACTATAGTCTAATATACCCCCAAACCCTATTCTAATTATTTAGGCCCCTACATTAGCATAGAGTAGAGGGCGGGGGCTCAGATCTCCAGGTTGCTAGAGTTTCGGGTTTCTGGGCTGGGACTTCGAGTTTAGGGTTTGGAGGTTTAGGGGGTTGAGGGTTTGGGTGGAGTTGGGTTTAGGCCTAGGGTTTAGGGGACTTGGGTTTAGGTGTAGGGTTTATGGGAGTTGGATTTAGGCCTAGGGTTTGGGGGAGTTGGGTTTAGACCTAGGGTTTAGGGGAGTTGGGTTTAGGGTTTAGGTTGAGGAGGCTTAGGGCAGAACTCCGTGTCGTTGGCCAGGGCTTGCTGCAGCAAGATCCGTCCCAACGGCTTCCCATGAGGCGCTCGTGGGATGGATCAGGGCCTAGGACAGTACAGAGGTCCCAAAGTTTGCAAGTAAGAGGGTCCCCTACTGGGTTTAGGGTAGAGTCCCTATAATATGGTATGGTGTAGTATAGTGCTCTGTGTGTATATATATATATATACCCGCTTCTAAACGTTATTAAAGTCACATTCTTTTGGCGACCAGCATGGCGGTTTCCTGAGTAAGATTTTCGGGCGTTGGGCTTAAGGCTTAAGGGCTTTACGGTCTGGGTTTGGGGGTCTTAGGTTTGGGCTTCCAAACTACCTAAGGGCCCGTATTTTGGGGGATAAGGGGGCTTGATATAAAAAGCTTTACGTATCTAGGTTGCGCTTATCCTGCTTACAAGTTCCTCTACTTACTGAGGAGCCCCCCGGAACTTTCTATACAACACTCACAGGGCTACTTATTGGGACAACTGTCCTTTCAGAAACGGTGCTGTTTGAGGTTTACCATGGGGGAGCGGACTGCCACTCTAGTCTGGAAGTCGAGTTTCTCCCTTAGCATCAAAATAGCCCAAAAGCCTTATATAATCGGGTCTTTGGGCCCAATAGCCTTAAAATTATGAGTCCTTCGAGGGTTAGGGTCTGGGACTTGGGTCCACTTGTCAGCACCCCTCGTCGCTACCTGCCAGGCTTTCGTGTCTAACTTGGAGGTTCTTGGGTAGTCCTAAGTATGGTCATACGTCCCCTAATATATGGGTTATACTTATAGTTTCCCTACTTATAACCTCAGTTATATCTTCCCATGAACCTCCAGTTACCCTACTTATAACGTAAGTTATAACTACCCATGAACCTCCAAACAGGCCCCACAGAGCCATTTCGGTGGTCGGGGGGGGCACCTAGCAGAGGTAGCAACCCTGAGACCTGGGAGTTTAGGGTTTAGATCTTCTATAACATGAGCTATGAAACCAGTATCATTGGGGCCATTAGGGTTTAGGGATATGAGGCGTCACGGTTTAGGGTTTAGGGTTTAGGGAAGCCAATAGCTGGTGCCAAGAACGTTTGCCTCGTCAGAGCTGAGCTGGATATGCCCTGCTATCAAGCGAACCCCAAAAGCCTGAAGCATCGGTTTACTGGGTTCTCAGGAACTAGCAGGGTGTCCTTATCATCTCGAGCTATACTAAAGTAAACCCCAAACCATCGGTGTACGATTTCCAGAAGGTTTAGGGTTTAGGGTTTAGGGTTTCGACGTTTAGGGTTTCGGTCGAGATCTGACAAGGCCGTTGCAAAAAGGGTTTCGGGACGACTCCAAGAGGCTGCCGTTAATGAACAAGCTTGCCAGTACCCCAAGGTAGGCATTTCCCTAGCACTACGGATACCATGGACTCAATAAAACCAGTACAATCTTCTGGTGAAAGGCTATGGTCTTCAATTCGACCCTAGGCCCTAAACCTTAAACCCCGAAACCCGAAACCCTAAATCGTATAGGTTTCGAATGGTCCTTGTGTAGTCAGTCCTTGGGGCCCCTCCACACCCGGCACCCTAAATCCGGGCTTCTGTTGGATCCTAGCCTAGCGGATCCTTACACCTGTATACTAGGGTTTAGGGTTTAGGGTTTAAGGTTTAGGCTTTAGGCAGCACTTAGGAATACTGGTGCAAATTATGTTCCCTTACAGCGCCTACATGTGCGTACATAGAAAAGGCATAGTGTGCAATAAAGCCCTAAACTAATTCATAACGCCCCTATAGAAAGTGCATGAAGGCCCGGTGGTGTCAAGAACCTCATGAACCACAAGTGGTTCGGGCCTGGGATCAGCCACAGGTAAGACCTGTCGCGAACCTGTCGGTTTCGACAGTGTAGGGGCCTGACACTCTAAAGGGAACCCATAGTACCTTTTTAAAGGAACCCGAAAGGACCCCCCCCCCTTAAAGAGGACCCTATTCTAGGACCCTCTTGAAGGAGGGGGGTTCTTCTAGAAACCTCTTGAAGGAGGGAGGTTCTTAACTGAAGCTCCAGGGCCTGGAGAGCTAAGCTGCTTGTGGTGTTCCCGCGGGTCTTTCGTTTACCTTTGCAGGCCGGGAGGAGGGTTTAGGGTTTAGGGTTTAGGGTTTAGGGTTTAGGGTTTGAGGGTTTGAGGGTTTTAGGGTTCAGGGTAGTAACACGATACCCTTATAGTCATGGTTTAGGTATAAGATACCCCAAAGCCCGATTCGTTAAGAACCCTCAGCCCAAGGGCTTTGCTCGCGGCTTGTGGGTTCTCTCATGGAGTTTGACTAGACCTGAAGGCTGCGGATCTAGGCTTTACTGTTTTAGGGTGTGACATTTTGAGGCTTGCGATTCTAGGAACTTGGGAGTGTAGGGCTTTAGTGTTTCGGAGCTTTAAATTTTAGGTTTGAGGTGTGCAGTGGTTTGGGGAAAGTTAAGGTGCTTAGAGTTCAGCAAACCCTGAAGCCTAGCCAAGGGTCTCACGACATAACTCAAAAACCTATGTCGAATAAGACACCTTCAACACTGGACGCTAAGGCCCTGCAGTGCAGGACCCTAACCCCCCGAACCCTCAAACCCGACAGCCCCAATGTCAAAGGAGTCGTTTGTGTACATACCCCGTTCTAGTCCCTATATACAGTAGAAGCCCAAAAGTTGGAAGCCCAATAGCCTCAATCCTTAAGAAAAATGTATAGGGGATCCCAGCACTATTTGTCCTTAAACCGGTTTCCAACTTCTTGGGGTTTACTATAGTCATGCAGAACATACCCTAAGCCATGGTCAACCCTAAACCCTAAACCCTATACCCATTACAAGCCCCCATGCAAAGACCTACCAAGCCGTTTCACAACTCCAGAGGACTGCCTAACTTCTCTACAAAGCCTGACACATACCACACGAATCCATAAAGATCGTACACATCTTTCCAGGGCTCTGGAAGATGATAATACTCTAACCTACTCCAAAAATCTATGCTATTTCCTAGGGACCTTTAGGGTTTCGGGTTTAGGGTTTAGGGACCCTAAACCCTGAACCCTAGATTGCATGAGAGTCCACCTGAGGTTCGAACCCTAAACCCTGATCTTAAACCCTAAACCCTAAACCCTAAACCCTAAACCGACCTGAGGTTCGCTGAGCACGACTGGGAGAGCATGAGGAATCTGGCCCTGAGCCCGCCGTACAAGCCTGTGGCCCTGCCGGCCGATGTTTACCAACCTAGACCAGTTACCTTAACCTACCAAAACCTACTTTTTTTTGTAGGGCCCCTATAAATTCCATATTGGGGATTAAGAACCTACAAACTTGTCGGTTTTGGTAGGTTTAGGTAGTTAGGAACCCAAACAGGACATCAGCATAAGCATTTTATAGGTATATCCCTACCTTGTTGGGCTTCATTATAGCGGGGTTTGTATGGGATAGCCCTATCCTAAGTTTTGCTTATGTGCTTTCTGGGAAACCCTAATCTAAACCCCCATAAACTCTGGGAGATGTTGCATGTAAGCTCGGGTTTCGGAGACGAGGTGCGCATTTTCCCACAGTTGACGCTGCCCCTGCAACAACAGCCGGTGCCTCACAAACGGTTTAGGGTTTAGGGTTTAGGGTTTACGGTTTAGGGTTTAGGGTTTAGGGGGAAAAAGCAAACGCTACTCCCTGTGGGTGCGGGGCAACAGTAGGATTGCTCCTGTGCAAAACTGACATCAGCAGCCGCAGCATCATCAGCTAGTCCAATCTATAGTTATCAACGTCGCCACACTGGGCAGTAGTAGTAACTGATAAGGTAACATGAAAAAAGATCCTGAACCCTATTGAATAACCTTACACGCAGGAAACCACACCCTGAACACCACCACAGTTGCCAGGTCAAGAACAAGCGAGACCTCGCAAACTTTTCTGCCCGGAAAGAGGATGCTCCGAGGCAAACACTGGGCTTTTGGAGTACCATACTTTAATACTTTGTTGGGGACTTTTTTCTCCTTGGTTACTTCAAAGCCCAGAACAGGGGTGTAGGGCTCCGAGTTAACTTTCAGAAAATAGAGGACCCAAACACAGACCCTAGACAGTTGGATCCTTCCTCCAACAAGTATCCTCTCCCAAATGCTTAAGAAGACCTTATGAAGCCCTGCCAAAACCCTTATAAGCCCCTAGTTCCCTAAACCCTAAACCCAAAACCCTTATAAGCCCCTAGTTCGAAAACCTCCTCCTGCTTTAAGTCAATCCCTCGAGTTCGAACCCTGGGACCTCCTGAGTGTTGTGTTAGATCTTTTTTGGGTTTAGGGTTTAGGGTTTAGCGTTTAGGGTTTTGTAGTAAGATTTCAGGCTGTCATGGAATTTTAGGGTTTAGGGTCTCGGGAGGGTCTGTTTTTTAGGGTTTAGGTGTGTAGGGCTTGAGGGTGAGGGGTTCAGGGTTTAGGGATGTAGTGTGATGTCAGCAACGAACTCGCCAAGAAGCATCTTAACCCTCAAAGATTGTCAAAGTGTTATGTAAGGCTTATGTGCTGACCTGCCAAACTTTTTCGAGGTCGTCGGGTTTACTCGGAAGCATGCGCAACAACCGAAAAGTAGGAGGCCAACCTGGAAAAGACAGATCTTAAGCCCTAGATGGCTCTCGCACAGTGCCACGCCCTGACTCCTACAAGCAGCTATTTACCCCAAACCCCAACTCCGACGTAGAACTCTTACCCTTAGCATCAAAATAGCCCAAAAGCCTTATATAATCGGGTCTTTGGGCCCAAAAGCCTTAAATTATGAGTCCTTCGAGGGTCAAGGTTAAGGCCAAAGCCCTCATCCCAAGAAGTCTGTCGCACAAGGATTGTGTGTTTGGACTTTATTCTCACGGACCTTTACGCGGAGGTGTTTGGGCAACCCTGCACCCTAAAGCCTACATTTCGTTTAAACCCCAAAGCAACAAGCAGGCAGCTCGAATATATCGACCCGGGCACCGGCTGGGACAAGAACTTTGCCACGTCCACTTGATGCAAAGCCCGGTCCTTAGTCTTACCGAGTATTTAGCATAGGCATTGCAAAGGCTCATGGGGTACACTAGCCACCGAATAGTTGTATAAAGACTACAAGGGAACATGCTGATAACTAGTTGTGCCCAGAGGCTCCATGTATACTGCCATTACGCAATTAGGCCCCCAAAGACCACCCCTATTGTGGTTTTAGGGACCTAAGCCCATAGTGGTATTCTACATGGAGCCTCGGGAGAATTATCATTCAGACGGCAATAGTATGCCGACTGGGGGTTGGAGGCTTTTGGGGCTTGTCAGGTCCTATGGCTGAGGCCTTGATAGACCGTCAGGGTTAACGTTGTCTGGCCCGTATACTCAATCTACATAGGTAAGACAGCCTCAGACCCTATAACCCCAAACCCAAACCCCACATCCCCAAATCGTAAAGCCCTGAATCCTGAGTTATAGAAACCCAAACCCTCGACCCCAAACATCCATAACCCCTCAAGTTACCCTTAATCCCCTTCAACTCCTACGCCATTTAGGCCCTGGAGCCATAAAGCCCTAAGCCCCCAAGGATTCTTCAAAGCCCGAAGATTCAACTAGAGCATACTAAAACTACTAAAACCACAACCCTTAGGTCAATTATCGGCGGTTCCTTTTCCACATGTACCTTGCTTGATGTCCTTTATTACATGCTGGTAGTCAGGTCACTTTGACCTCTTTGGAGTTTCTATGCAAGTCCCGGATCAACAATGGTTCGTGTGTGTGTATGTATGAACGTGCGTAGGTAGCTAGGTAGCTAGGTAGCTAGCTAGCTAGGTAGCTAGCTAGGTAGCTAGCTAGGTAGCTAGCTAGGTAGCTAGCTAGGTAGCTAGCTAGGTAGCTAGCTAGGTAGCTAGCTAGGTAGGTAGGTAGGTAGGTAGGTAGGTAGGTGGGTAGGTTGGTTGGTTGGTCGGCAGGTAGCTGGTAGTATGTATGTATGTATGTATGTATGTATGTATGTATGTATGTATGTATGTATGTGAGGGTTGTTCTAAAGGT